ACCCCTCCCACCCCCTGTGCTCCTTCCTGCCCATGTCAGGGGGTCGGACTAGATGATCTGTCTAGGTCCCTTCCAACTCATTGATTCTATGATTCTAAGCATATCCCTAATAAATGAGCACACCCCAAAGTAATGGCCAAATCTGGTAACACCTTCTTCCCTAGAGCCTCATCCACAAACCACCAGTAATCCACAAAAATATAAACAGTAAGTCCATGGGCTATAACAACAACAACAAAAAAATAAGATTAAAGAAGGCCACATGCCAGCTTACATTTTTCCATGACTCTGTGCTTCTGCTTCCCACCATGTGTTATGCTCCTCCATGTGAAGTTACCCTTACTTTTCTGAGTGTCCTCAGAAGTTCCCCTCACAGCAGCTGGACAGGCAGACAAACCTCCTTGTGGAGCTCTTAAGCACAACCTTCAGGTGCTACCCTTCACTGCTACTAAGCCCAGGGTTTTTATAGTTCTGGCCTGCCCCATTCCAGTCACCTGACTAGCCAGCCAGGTTCAGCTTTTAACCCTTACCCTGCCAGCATGCTGTGCCCGGAAAGTTCTAGTCTTAAAGGGACTGGCCTGCTTTCTGGTAACAAAGCTAGGGTTCCCTGTTACACCTGCCCAGCAAGTTTAAAGTTACATGTGGGGCAGCCCCGTTCTGGGTTTCACTGTATGCAGTTTTCAATTTGCCAGAGTAACCCAAGCTCCACATGTGTTGGCAAGTAGAAGGGGTGCCACAGGAAGTGCAGCATTGAGGATGGGTCTCCAACACCAAGCTCCCTGTGCCCACAGTTTTACAACTGGGATCTGACAAATTTTATCCCAGATCCCAAAAATCACACATCTTGCCATGCACATTTGGCATCTGCCAGTGCCCTGGAGAACCATCTTTCTGCTCCCCAGGGTACAATCCAAGATCAGATCAGGCAACACTATAGTTACACTGATAGCTGCCTACTGTTTGAGATAGTTTGCAGTCATTGCATCTGAAAATGTGGCATTTCCCTGGTAGAGCACTATTCACAGGGACTGCTCCCTACAGGTCAGAACATTTTTATACAAGATAGGAATCTTCCATCTGGAAGACTAATTACTCAAAATATTTCCTTCTGGAGTTCCCAAAACAAGGAAGATCCAATAAAAGACCATGATACAGAAGCTCTTCAAATTTATACCAAAATGGAAACAGGCACTATTGGAATTTAACTCTCTCAGGATCCACCTGGCAACATTATCAGTGTGTTTTTCTTCAGTACAGTCACAATCCATCTTCTGCTACACTTTTAAAATACCTAAGAAGTTTTCTTCATTCTAGTCCTCTGGTCAGCTCTCAGGACTTGGTTTTCATCCCCCTTCAGCTAATGGAGTTTCTTTTTACACTATATCAGAATGCTCAGTTATACCATCAAGATATTTTTTTCTTACCATTACATCAGCCCAGAGAGTTAGCAAGCTCCAAGCCTTTTGATGGAATGTCTGGACACACTCCTCCACAGGGACAAGTTGGTGGACCACACTCAAAATTCATTCCTAATATGGTTTCAGAATTCCATTTTAACCAGTTTGTTACCCTACCATTCTTCTTCCCAACACAACTTTTATTAGGACAAAAGATGTACTCTGCACATCTCCATAGTCATGCTTTACTAACCCAACAAGGATAAACGTTTTAGGTCATCTTCCCATACAAATTAGAAAGAGTCCAGCGGATAGCAACAAAAATTATTTGAAGTTGAGGAAACATGACATATATGAAAAGGGCAGAAGAACTGAGAGGGGGTTTGAAAACAGTCTTCAAATACATGAAGACTGGTTATAAAGAGGAGGGTAACAGACTATTCCTTGTGGCTCCAGGAGAAAGGGCAAGAAGTAAGAACTGAAAATTTGGTTGGCTTGTAGGAAGAACTTTCCAACTATGGGGATGGTTAAACACTGGAACAGATTACCTAGAGAGACTGAAGAATCTCCATCTTTGAAAGTTTTTAAGAGTGCATTAGACAATATTTAGCTGGGGTAGTTTAGGAATTATCCTGCCTTGAGCTGAGGGTTGGACAGGATGACCTCTGGATTTCCCTTCAAGCCGTATGTTGCTATAATTCTATCTTTTTGGTCCTATCCAGCACATTAAAAAGTCAAACTAGTCCCAGATAATCACAAGTGAATCACACAGGGTGTGAACACACATATGTTTGGAACCATTTTAAAAGGGGAACATTTCAAAAGGGCAGCAGCTGTTATGTTCTAACTGTTAGATGTGAACAAGTTGGGAATGGAACAAATGTAGCAAAACTGCTCCAACTTGAACATGGGATGAAGACTGGTAAGGTAATGAACTAGTGAAGATGGAATTCTGAGAAACCAAAAGGGGAACTTTTTAAAAGGGCAGCACCTGTTATGTCTTGACTATTACAGACAGACAAGCTGGGAATGATACAAGTACAGGAAAACTGCTTCAACTTTAATACTGCTCCATCAAGTGTTAAACATGAACTGGTTTTGTTACATTTGTATTGATCCTGGCTTGTCCACGTGTAACAATTAGAGTATAACAGCTGCTGCCCTTTTGAAACACTCCCCTTACAAAACTGTTCCACATACAAGTGTGTCTTTACTCCATAGTTATTTCAGCATGCTATCAGCTGGTTAATAAACCTCTCACTCCAAACAGCAAAGCACACACCAGTACCAGGGCCCAGGCTGCATCGTCTGCTTGCTTCAGAAACATGCTTATCTCTAAGACCTACTAGAAAGCAATGTGGAGCAATATATTGAACTTTGTTAGACTTCATGCACTAGACATGGCAATTAGGTCAGATGCCAAGTTTGGGTGGCCAGTACATCAGTCTCTGATTAAAACCACTGAAATTTGTTTCTCTTGTAAGGAGGTGCTTACTAGTCACCTATAGTGGCATATACACTGATGCAAACTTGAAGAACAAAGTTTGGATTTTTCCATAGAAATTTTGGTTCTCCAAAATGAGTTAGTGTGGATCCCATGGTATGCCCTTCAGCTCTTCTCTTCAGAGTCATGGGCTTTGAATTGCAGGGGATCTTGAGAAGAATCAAAGCCACCTCACTCTTTATGCCCTCATGTGGAACCACAACAAGGCACAGAATACAGGTATGGCTCTGATGGACAATTTTTTTTTAAGAGCAATCCAGTCTTGAACACATCATAAGATTGACAGTGACTACTGTATAATCTCTCAAGGAATTAGTTACTGCAAGGTAAGCAACTCTTCATATTGTGGTTCTCCAAGAAAAAATGTGGGACAAGATGACTATAGTAATCTTTAAAATATGGCATTTATGTGTCATAGAAAACAGCAAGGTAAAAGAGACCTTGGTAACAGAACACAAATTTGATTCTTTCTAAACTGAAGAGCTAATATAGTGTCAAGATAAAACTTGTCCCTCAATAAGGAAACAAAAATAAATAATTTTATACTTTGCTCTGGAAAAATGTAAATCTGGCACTTGTTCCTGGCCAGCCCTGGGCTGCTCAGGGAAATCCTAGCACAGCCTGGAGCTGGCTAGGACCTGCCCCAGAAGTGGGGCAGTTACCAACCAGCCCATGGCTGTGTAGGGAAGCAGGGAGCTCCTGTTTCCTGGCACTACTCGGCTCCCAGCTCCTGTGGGGAGCCAGGAGATGAGCAGTGTCAGGATGGCGTAGGGCAGAGAGCTACCCTGTCCTGGTGCTGCTTGACTCCCAGCTCCTAGGGGGAGCCAGGAGCTGAGTAGTGCCAGGACTGGGGGAATTCCTTGTCCCCTGTGGTCCCCTAGTGTTGGGGCTGACCTGGAGCAAATTTGCTCCCTGTCGGTATCTATACATGCACTACTGTGCAGTAAACTAATTACTGTGCAGTAAATGTGCATACGTGTAGAAGGTGAAGCTTTACTGCACAGTTGATTAGTCTACTGTGCAGTAGAGCATCTTGTGTACATACACCCACTGATAACTTTATTGTGGGTTTAACTTCTATTCCAGTTCAATCACATGCCACATTTCTTCATGTCTCCACAACCCCCACTTTTGGAGACCTGATAAAAAAGATTTTTCTTTCCCTCAACCTCAAAACATTTAATAATCATAAGTCTGAAATGATTTCATGGTGGGCGCATCAACACCAGATGATTACTGCATTAACACTTATAGCATTAACCTAATAATACTGTGGAGTAGAGTGTCACGGCAAAAACCGTGCTAATAGCCTGCTACACAGTGATATTAGGCTAATGCGCAGTAAGTGTCACTAAATAACGATGCACTGGTGCTACTGTGCAGTAAATCTAAGTGCTGCACATTTAGTAAATACTTTATTAAGGAAGTAGTAAACTAAATGGGCAGTGTCTAAGGTGCATTAATGAACATGTAGACGTGCCCAGTATAGTCAATGACTTTTCTTTCTGTATTACAGCAATGGATTGTCAATACTATTATATTTGATGCCCCAAAAAGAATGTGATTGGAACACACTTTTTTTTTCCTTAGTGTGATTTGTTATATAGAAGAGTAGAAAAATGGTTTGTATAGCTTCAGAATGTTGCTTGTATTTCTGAAAAAGCAGTAAGTACAATTAACTATACAATTTTCTATATCTATTCACAGAATGACTACTAGATGTATATGAGTGCGCAGTGTAAATACATAAAACTGGGCAAGAGATTAATTGCAAAAAGATTCTCTTGATTTTCTTGTCAATATACAGTAATAATTGGTTTGGTATCTATCTTTTCTGGGCCACTGATGACTTAAGTCACTTTAAAATGAAGTTATGCTGACAGGTAAACTTTAATGCTTAAAATGAGAAAATCCCATGCTACTTCAAAAAAAAATAGTCTTCTTTAGGAACTTCATCTGGAACCAAAGTGATTTTTCTTCTTTCCAGAGCTCTTTAAAAGGGTTCAGACAATGTTACAACTGATTATAAGAAAGGAAATATTTGTAATAGATATGCAAAAGCATTCTATAAAAAACTGGACGATGTTTGTGAACACATCTACACATGCAGTTATTATGAAGCAATAAAATCCAGAATTTATTGCTCCTTGGCACACCATTTGAATGTGCACCTGGGACTGCAGCATATTGAGCTAGGTTGGAGCAGTCCTGGCTGACAGGGAGGCCCGGGGGCAGCCTGCCAACTTGGGGCTGCTCCACTGCAACTCACCGTGCTGCAGAGGGGCTGGCTGGGGCACAAGAGTACTTCAGTATGGGGCTAGGTAGCAAGCAGCCCTTCACTGAAGCACACTTGTGCCCCAGCCAGCCCCTTAAGGCCACTTACACGTGAGCACGGCTGTGCGACATGTAGTGCCACAGACATGTCTGCAATGCCACATACTGCACATTCAGCTGTTCTCCGAGCTGCAAGGGAACAGCATGGGGGTAGGGGGGTTGACCCCTGGATATCCAGGGGTAAAAAAAACCGAGATAAAAAATGCAGAGCAGCGCACACAGGGGCAGTGTGTGCTGCTCAAAGCCAGAACCTGGCCAGCTAGAGCCACAGTTTGGCTGCTGGCCAGGCTCTGAGTGGCAGGATTGCTGCTGCTGCAGCCCCAGGAAGCCCCCAAGACCCCAAGTAAGGCTACTGGGGCCAGCCCCAGCCTCTCCTACCCCACCCAGGGTAACCTGCCTTGCGCCAGGGCAACTAGTGATGGCACAAGGTGTGCTGCTCCTAGTTTTCCCTGGGGAACCAAATGTCCACACTCATGTGGATATGGCCTCAGGGTCTACATGCAGTGCTACAGAGTAAAAAAACTCCACAGCAGGATAGCACTTGTATTTACAAGTGCTATCCTGCTGCAGAGTTAATTAGTTTAGTCTAGCCTAATTGCCCTGCACTTGTAGATGCTGAGACATTTACTGCAGAGCCAATTAGTCAACTCCACAGTAAACTTCTGGTGTAGGCACATCCTGCATGAAGTAAACTAACCCTTGTTTATCAACATAATGAAAATTTAGACCATCTGTGAACGTTATATCTTTCTGCATCTTTTACAAGTGTCCTATATAGATCTGTTTATGATTTATAGATAGCAATTCATTTTTATCCCATTTAAAACATAGCTTCTATTTTTATTTAGTCTTACTATCTTAAATTGGCATTGTACTTAAATCTTTATGTATATATTTATTTCCTGAAATGTACTGAAGTAATAGAAGTAATAGTTTAAGTTATAAAAGTAATATATTGACACTGAGTTATCTAGATAAGTCATGTTATCTTAATTACCTTTGTAGTGAAAACTAGTCTTTTTCACCCAGAATTTTAGAAAACTTACCCAATGCTCTGCTAGGGAAAAGCAGTGCGGTGGGTCACTCCTCTTTATGTACAAAATTAATTTAGTGTTGATGAAAGATTCTAGGCAGATAGCATTGGGGAGTGGAATCTACTGGTTTTTCATTTATTCCATTCATATATTTATGAAATGTTATAAATGCAGAAAGAGAATTAACAGCATTATCCAAGGTACAATATTTTCTGTTGTTTTTACACATTTAAATT